AATGCACTCAGGAGCGGAGGAGGGACATGTATGAGGTGGGTCAGAGCCAGAAGCTTTTTTACTTGAAGGTTTTAAATTTGGATGCAACTGATAACATTGAGAAGGAGAATGTCCAAACATACGGCAGTGGTTACAATAAAGTGGTATCTGTTCAAGTTCTGCTTGCTGCCAAAATCCCTGATAATGTGTGCCATTCCATATTTCTCCCGAAAAAGGTAAAATAATCTCTTTCTATCAAAATTCTGGCTTCTGAAGGCCGAGTCAGATTCACTGTAGGCGTGTCAGTTTTGAGTGGTTTACCATATACCATCGCTAAAGCGAAGAGAAGCTCTTGATCAAAAAGGTGGGTCTTCGTGGATCTTCAAACCTGATAGGGTTCGCTTATGGCGAATCCTTTTCTCTGATTCACTGCGATTTCGTCTGTTCTCGTCTTCGTCGCCTGTTCGCCGTCGCGTCATAGCGGCTCGTTTTAGCGGCTCTTGAGTGAAGGTGCCGGGCTCGGGGGTGACATTTGAAGGTCGTCTGAGCGCGGGCATCTTCTGCGGCTCGTTCTTTCGCATCTCGAGAAGCGCGGGCTCCTTTCTGCGGCTCGCGACTCGTTCTTAGTCATCCCGAGAAGCGCGTGCTTTTTCTGCGGCTCCTGTCCTAGCTCGCAGGGCACAAGCTTTCCTCTGGCTCGAACGAATCGCCCACTGCTCGACTTCCCTTTCGGCATTTGCTCTTCCTTTACTGTCCCATTGCTGTCCCACAACCCCATTCCCTCTTTAGAATGACTTCGGACAGATCGTATGCTGCTGCCCTTGCGGGTGTTCACGCCTCAGGTACACCTAAATCGTTTTCTTTTCCTCCTTCATTTGAGTGGGCGGAGGACATCAAGAAGCCTGGTAGGAGAAATGGAAAGCCTACCATCTTTTTTACAGAAAACGATGGTATGCAACTTGCTTCCTCGTGTCGTCTGAATTTGGTTGGGAAATTTCTATATAGTCATCCACATTTGCTCTTCCTCTACTGTCCCATTGCTGTCCCACAACCCCATTCCCTCTTTAGAATGGCTTCGGACAGATCGTATGCTGCTGCCCTTGCGGGTGTTCACGCCTCAGGTACACCTAAATCGTTTTCTTTTCCTCCTTCATTTGAGTGGGCGGAGGACATCAAGAAGCCTGGTAGGAGAAATGGAAAGCCTACCATCTTTTTTACAGAAAACGATGGTATGCAACTTGCTTCCTCGTGTCGTCTGAATTTGGTTGGGAAATTTCTATATAGTCATCCCAAAATGGAGCTCATTCGCAAAGAATTTGAACTTATGCACCTTGTTTGAGAGTGAAAAAGTGGACTATTAGATGAAGGACACGTTCTCATTCAAATTAACAATGAAGAAGATTACATGCGTTTATTTTCTAGAAGGATAATCTGGATTGATAACAGGGGAATTAATATTCTGAAATGGTCTGTGGATTTTGACCCACAGACACAACCACAAATCATTCCGGTTTGGATTTGCCTCTGGTCTGAAATTTCATTATTTTTCTCAAAAAGTATTGTACTATATTGTCTCAGTTTATGGAAAACCACTTAAAACGGATATTCCTACTTTTAATCTTTCCCGTCCATTTAAAGCCAAAGTGCTTGTTGAAAGAGACATCACTTCATTCACTTCTGAGGAAATCTGGTTGGACACACAATACCATGGATATTGGCAGAACGTAGAGACTGAGCATTTTCCATCGTATTGTTCGAACTATCGTATGTTCGGCCACTCTAGTTCTTAATGTCATCATCTACACCCCCACCTCAGACCAAAAAAACAAAGTGCTCCGTTAGAGGTCGTGATTCCATCTCTTCCTGATCAGCACCAAGTTTTTGACACTATTGATCATTAGTAGGATACCCCGGAAGACGTCAATATCCCAGTAGGCAATATGACAACCATTCAGTCCCCAGTTGTAGCTCCCCAGTCTTTGGAACCTCCTATCGTGGGGGAGAGGGAGATTCTTCAGACTTCGCCTGCCATAGAATCTATCACCGATAATACAGGTATAAATACTTCTATTGTTTCACCACCGCCTCATCAGGTTTAGAAAGATGTTAATGTTACTCAGACTCATGGGGATCATGATGTGCAATGACCTACACCTGTCCGACCTCCTTTAGAATCTACTGATCAGATGAGTCAATCATCGGATGAGGAATGACAAGTCTACATATCCAGGAGGATAAAGAAGAATGTAGATCTACTCGAGCTCAGGAATCTGATGGATGATACTTTGGTTACTACAGGCAATGATACTCACCTTACAAATTTATTAACCGACTCACTTCCGAGAACTCGAGGCAGGAGGACTAAAGTGAGACGTCCTTAGCACTTTTGTGACTTTTTGTGATTTTTTGGTTTTTGCCTTATGTATCTTTGCTTTATTTGGGTTTTGTGTTCTTGTATTGTATGAGTTGGACTTTCTTTTAGACCATCTCATCAACTTTTCTGTATCTTTTCCGTATTAATATATTTGCCCTTGGGCTTTTTCAATACCACTCAAGTCTTATATGTTTACATATCTCACTCACACACACAGACACACACACACACACCCACCCACCTTTAAAATTAAAAGGGAGCATTTACATACATGCCACACAAGTTTTATGTAAACACCTATTTAACACCTAACATATAATTTTTGCATTCATATCACTCAAATCTTTCATTTAACATAAATAATCAAATTATGATTTCCAAAAATCATAGGAAAATGCATTAGGGCATTGTCACACTTACCTATATATTTCCTATTCTAAGCAACCATGTTTCCACTAACTAGAAATTGCCGAACAAAGAATAACAAAATTTGGAATAAAATCAATCGATTATCTTCTAAAATTTGGCAAGAGCGTGGACACAGGGCATTGTCGTAGCGTTTTTGGAGACGTTGCCGAAGATTGAGGGTGGAGAGTGCTGCTGGAGAAGAGAAATTGCCTCAATGTCGTCAGAGCCCTAATTTTTATGAGGATGTAATGCAATGTGTGTGATCTGTGCAAGCGGATTAAGGACCCGTTTGGGGCAGCTTATTTGGTGCGGTAGCGATTTGAAAACGCACCTGACCTGTTTGGGTAAACTGCGTTTTGGCAGCTTATACGTTTTCAAAACGCAGAAAACAGCGTTTTCACACCACACCTATCTATGCGGTGGGAGCTTATTGGGAACGGTCTGGCTTTTCCAAAAAAATAAAAATTTGTAATAACCACCGTACCTAGCTTATTAGCAGATTATTTTTAATCAGCTTTCAACAGATTATTCAATAAGCTACAACTGCCCCAAACAGACCCTAAATGCGGTTAAAAATTTCATCAGATAGGTAGTTGCTTTTATGTAATCTATAATGTATCTGAACATTTAGCTACAAATGATTTTCAGCCAAAATTTCCCATGGTTGTTAGCTCTTTTTAAGTAAATTATGAAACGTCTGAAACTTCAGCCGCAAAATCAACCACTAATTTGAAGTGTCAGAATTTTCAGCAGTTATTGCAGATGTTGAAAATTCAGTCACAAATTTTGATGCTTATTAAGCAGCTGAAAAAATCATGCTGAAAGTCAGCCGGTAATTAGTGTTATTCTTGTAGTGCCTCACATCTGAGTGGTTCTTCAACGGATATTAGAACATATTTTTTGACAAATTTTGTTGACCGATATTTATTCAAGTGTTTGAAATGAATAAGGAATTCCATGTTATTTTCTTTGTATGTCTTTTCAGCATTTTGAATTCGCTATTATGGTTATTTATATAGTTGTAATAGGCTTTCTAAACGGACAATAAAAATATTAAAAATAAACTCATTCAAAAATAGATTAAGAGTACCAGATATTTACTAAAAACTACAAGACTTATAAGAAGTACAAGTTTTTATAATGAAAGGTATAAAACAACACTCAAAAGTTATCATTTTTGTATGCTATATTTTTTTTTATCTCAAGGCAATTTAACTGTTATGCAATTTTTCACAAATATTTTATTCGTTTGAGTAAACGTATCCTGTTGTTTTTTTGTATAAGGAACTTTTGTAGCATTTTTTCTCCAAAAAATATAGATACTCCATTTGCTTATCAGTTTACTATTCATTTTATTAATGAATTTTGCAAAGTAAATGCACACGGGTTTTTTTGTTTCTTCAGGCTAGGCAACAAAAAGTTGGAGAGAAACCTCTTCTTTCTGTTTCAACTTTTGTACAGGTAAAACTTTATTGGCACTTTGCGTTAACTATGAGAGTTTTTGCATTATTTTGGTTTCCCTATGATAAAATGGCTATTTGACATAAAATTTTCTTGTCATATTATTGTCGTTACATTTCTCACCTGGCTGCTATTCGAATGATCAGTTGCATATTCACTTCCAAACTACTATAAATGCTGTCTACTACTTCATGCCGTAGTTTTTGGGAACTGCTGTCTGTGATGGCATTTTCCATTGTTGGAACTTTTGATGTTGAGTGCTGTTAAATGCATGCTGTTGAATTTATAAGTTTTTTCTGCTTGTTTATTGTTTGTATTAGAAGTTGGAAAAGTTCTGGGTTCCTGGCCGATTATTAATTACTCTCCAAATGGCACCCTTATCTGACGTCAACAACATTATCGGCAAATGAGTGATGGACAGAATAGCAAAAATCTTCTACAGGACAAGGATATGGAATAGAGGAGGAAGAATACTAAACAATGGAAATAGTGTGGGAACTTGCTATTATAACTTGCGAAGCTTTTTTTTATTTGATTAATAGTAGCTATACTTACACCATCCATTATGAACCAAACGTGGAAATTGTTGGCAGATATAAAACCGTAGCTTTGAAATGAATGAATTTGATTAAATACCCAATGAGGATAAGAGACACATCAATAATGCAGAGCTAAAATGATGTGTTGGTATTAGAAGTTAAGAAAATATTTAGTTGAACAAAATTTAACACCAATTTCTTCTTTAATTAGGTTTTTTGAAAGTAAATATGATAAAACTTACCTGGTTAAAAGTTCAAATGTATTTAGCTTACCTTAAATGAAGTTCAAAAGTAATTTAATTAGTTTTGGCATGAAAGAATTTGAAAATCCAAGTTGACAAGATCAAGGCTTGGATTGATGCTCCAAATATTTTTTTTTATTGATCACAATAATAGAATTATTTGTTTTATGGTTTATACTAAATTGCCGTTTTAAAAATAAAGTATGATCTGCAAAAAAGTAACATATATCTAATACTATTTGATGGTGAATGGTGATATGATCTAGAGGGGAAGACACTCTTGAAGCTTGGTGTTTTGTCCAAATGTGGAAAGTGGAGTAGGGTTAAGGGTTTTAGGATTTTAAAGGCGCTTCTAAGAAGTTTGGAATTATTTTGTTGAACTTTGGTTTTCTTGGGCTTAATTTGAATTAAGGAAAAGGAGCGTTAAAGAACTAGATATTATGGTTGAAGGTTTTGGAGTAATTTTGGGAAAAAAGTGGAAAAGGGTGGCTGGATTAGGTTGGTTGGAGGGTGGTGGCTTTGGAGGAATCTCAAGAGGGAGAGAGGTTAGGATTTTTAATGGAGGGAAGTGGTTAATTCTATGTCAGGTTATGTATGACCTGAAGGGGTTGTAAGGAATGTAGTTAGGTTGCTATGTTAGTTTGGGGCTAGGTTTTTAATGATATACTAAAGATAGAGAGGAGAGACGTTGAAATCAGTTACAAAACTATTCTCTATGATAATTTTGAGTTCACCGAAACTTTAAGAGAGGGTTGTCCACCTAGTTTTTGCACTTAATTTGTACCAAAGTAGAATAACTTTCTTAGTCATTGACTAATCTAATCAGAGTACATGGTGGACCTATTTATAGGAAGAAAAAGCTAACAGACTTTGAAAAATATGTACGATGGATTTGGACGAAAGATTAATGGAGGGAAAACATAATTTATGTCGGATTAAAGATTAACATGGATGCGGTTTTCAAAGTCCAATCGGACATACATTGATGATTGCTATCGAATGGGATCGAGATGTGACTGAGATTCTTTCTGTGCCAAAGGAAGTTAGTTAATTATTGTATGAATTTAAGGAACTTATGTCCTGATAAATTATTGTATGAATCCAAACATAATTCCTTCGATTTGATCCTTGGATTACTGTTGCCAAATTACCCTTTTGTAGAATAACCCTATTGAACTTGTTTAACTAAAAAGCAAGTTAATGAATTACTGATGAAATGAGTTTTAAGGTAAAGCATGATACTTTTTTGTGGTACCAGCTTTACTTGCATTTAAAGATTTGAATAATGTTTGTGGACATTGAGTGATTAATAAACTCACTATGTAGTAGCTAAGTGATTAGTAAAATTAGTATAAAGTATTTGATTTTCCATCCTACAATTTGATGATATGCTACATTGTTATGTGAAGTTGTCCTATCAAGTAAGAATACAAGAAAAGGTTGAATGTTTGACTGTTTTTAAGGCACGTGACAATTTTTATGAATAGTCAGCGATGTCTTAAGCACTCTCATTAGCATCGTGAAGCATGTTTTATGATTTGTGGTAGGGGAATTTTTAGTTGTGTATGTTGATAACAATCTAATCTGTGACAAATTAGAGAGGTGCACTTAATATACCTTAAGTTATTTGAAATGCTACAATCTAAAAGTTTTATCTAAATTTGAAGAAAATTTTGGGATCTATAGCTTTTATCATTGTGTTATCTGTTGAACATATTAAGATTAAAGCAAGGACTGATTAACACCCCAAATAATTCATGACATTTAGAGTTTTCATGGTTTGGCTATCTTCTATTTGCTATTCATTAAAGAATTTAGTATTGTCATCACATCAATTGCTAAATGTTTTAGAAAAGGGGATTCAAATGAATGCTCTACAATGACATTAGAGAACCTATTTAAATATTTAATACATATGCACCAAGCTTATCTAATTTGATTAAAGTTTTGACATTTCCCGTGGAGCATTTGATTTAGGAATTAAAGGATTGTGAAGTCAAGATGGACATATAATCACCTATTTTAGTGAGAAGTTAGTTAACATTCTATAATTTTAATAGAGATTCCTGTAAGATTATTAAATTACTTTAATATTAAAATGATTACTTATTGATTATTGAATGTTGTACCATTGTTTGTGGGCTCCAAAAATTTGATGCCTTGGACCCTTTTTTGTTGGGCGAGAGCATTTTGTATTTTTGGTATTCCGAGTTATATTTTCAATAGACACATTGGATAGTAGATAAGAGATTATCCAGATATTTTACCTTTATTTTGTGAGTACTTTATGATTTGAGGTTCGAGGTTACCCATAGGCACAATTCTGTATGATTATTACCCCCTGATAACATGAGAGCACTTTCGATTAAGGCTTGTCATTTAGCTGAATATTTGACATATAGTAGCAACATATTTAGAGTTTTAGATTATAAAAATTACCACTTTGAGCTAACAGTGGATGGTGGGGAAATGATGATAGACCCAATCAAAATCCTATGGTTTTGTCATCCCGAGTCGTCGTGATCCTTGATTTACTTCGTTAGAGGAGGTAGCCGATCCAACCTGATTGAAAAATCTTTGACAACAACCATAGATTTTGTCGCTCGAGGGGCCCTTGTGCTCTGGATGGATGTGTCTAGTGGAACAAATTTAAGTCGACCTTAGTCAACAGAAGATTTTATGCCAATTAGATGTACTCTTTTGGTTCACAACTCAAAGATTAGAAAGCCGTTGGTGAACATAGAGGTTGCAAATATAATCGTAATATAATAGTGTCATTTAACAACAATCTCATCAGAGGGCCCTGACTATAACTGCTATTTTTTGTGGAATTGTTGTGGTCTTTACCGACATTAGATTACTTTTAGAGAATATAATGATACATTTGATGTGACATTAATTTTTTGTGAGCTGAAGTCAATCAAAAGTTTGTCACCCTATATTAACTGTTGTAGTAAGTGATTGATTTGAACTTTGATTATTTTGATTTGTTTGCTTTTAAGATTTTAGGTGTTTGATTTTAACTTGAATTTATTGATTTGTTATTTTGAAAACTTGATTTGAAAATTGATTTAAAAATTGACCGATCTTGTTGAGATTTTTAGTCAATACAACCATCATTGGAATTTTGATTGCCTGATTTGAGCCCTGTCTGATACCAGAACTAGTAGGGTAACACTGGAGACACAAAAATAAATTTGTATTAATGGGAAAATAGGGGTTAAAACACAACGTGACCATACAGAACATAGATGACATAATCAAACACCCCTAAATGTATCCTAATGGGTGGTGGAGGTCGACTAGCTGATACCAGAACTAGTAGGGTAACACTGGTGACACAAAAATAAATTTGTATTAATGGGAAAATTGGGGTTAAAACACAACGTGACCATACATAACTTAGATGACATAATCAAACACCTCTAAATGTATCCTAATGGGTGGTGGAGGTCGACTAGAGGGATAGAAATGATTGGAAGGGATAATGAGAACCTCGGAAGGCGGGTTACAGTGAAGGGAAGGTGCAGAACTGTAGGAACAACGAGTACAGAGAGTTGTAGGAGGTCGGTAGCAGGCAGTGGGTGGCTGGGAGGAGTTTGGAAGGAGATCGAAAGGTTGACAACAGTACAATTTGGACGAAAGGGGACTGCAGAGTGTTGGTGGCCGAGCGAGAGTTCGACAGATGAGAAGTGGGGAGGAGGTTTGGGGATGGTAAAATGGGGGATACAATCACCATCTCAGAGAGGATATAGCCGAAGCACTACCACCTCATCAAATACAACCCACAAGGGGAAAATTACTCCACACAGGAATCTGAGAAAAAACACAACCAAAACTAACTTTTACACATAGGGAACATCAACTTATGGCCTCCTAGAAAGGAAAGGGGGTGAGAAGGTAATAAGGATCCATAAAACTCTCCTCGGGCGAAATAGCTTTTTGGATAGCGAGAGGTCGCAATCTGCCTCTTGCTTTCGTGTGGAATCGCAATCCCGTCCCGCCTTTTGCTTCGCGATTCGCCTCCCATCTTCACGCGGTATCACGATCTCGCCAGCTTCTCCCACAAAGTGTCACGGGCTACCGCGAAGGGTCGCGTGGTTTCTGGCCCCGCGGAATCGAAACGCCCTTTGGTGCTCTTTCAGCTCCCATACTCGGGCACTAATTTCAGTACTCGCATTAGTCTCCTGGGGTTGGATGAGCTTCGACTTAATAGGTC